TTGTTGCGACCCGATCGATGCTTCGCATGTGTTTCGGTTAGGAATTGGACTACTTCAAGGGATAGAAAATTATGTCCCTTTGAATTCAGCGTCACATTCAACTCACCGTATCCTTCAAAAAAAGGTTTCATGGCTGCATCCAGAAAGAAGATCACGTCTATGTAAGAGAAATCCATGGATAAACCTTACGAGAGTTCCACCCCTCTCGTCATCCCACCCACCCACCGTTCCCCTTCCCAGTCAGAAAGGTTTCCTAAAAACTTGATCTTGAAGACGTTTACCTGCCACACCTGTCCACTTGACGTCACCTGCCATTTCCTTTGGACACAATTATAGAAACGACAGGCACTAGAAGGAGAAACTTTTAGGGAAACTGGTTTTCGCCATTACTGCAAGCAGAACAAGGATTACATCTCAACCACGGCAAAAACTGCTCTATTTTCCTACTACTATTACAATCAACGTAGCACCGAGTTGTCGTTCTGATCATCGGGTTCTCTTAGAGGCAGCAACGTCTCCACTAGTACCTGCCAAGCCAGAGCAAGCCTGTGAATTCTCCTCGCCTGAGGGAGGGAAGGACGAGTCTGACCCTCGATCTCGAGAAGGTACTGGTGGCCGCTTAGCGTCTTCGCCCTGATCCAGTCTTCATCACAAAACCTTCGCCTCAAAGTTCTTTAGCTTGTCGATAGACTCGACGAGGAAAAGCTGGACAATTCTACTGGTCAGCTTATAACATAGCTCCTACCGATGTGAGCTATTTTACCCCAAGGCGTCTTTAACATTCTTTGTCCGGAAAGACAGAATTACTGAGTGCTCCTACCAGGGCTCACAGTCGACGAGATGACGGCATGTAAGAAATGGCGTTGTCAGATTATCCCCTTTCACAACCCCACCACATTCGTCCCGCGCAGTAGGTGGATTTCTCCTCAACGCTATGTATGAAACCACTTTCCAGAAGCTAAATTCGGCCCCCTGATGGGGTTCACAACGGTGATCTACGCTGGCTCGCCATAATCCCACTGGTCTTTGGCCCTCGACTAGTCCGTTGGTCCGTCACGTGAGGCACATCTCGTAAGCTCAGCATCTCACTTCACTGACTCACTGATTCCAGACTCTTCACACCTGGCGGACGCTTCAAAATATTGCTTTTGCAATTCAGAGATTCAAGGTTGACGTTTCCCCGGAAAGAAAAAAAAGAGTTGTTCTCTGACCCTTGCCACATGAACCGCGCCAACTAGGACAGATGAGTCCAGCCCGTTCGAAAAAGCAGAAGTGGAAATCCCAATGAATTTACGTGTTCTGACCAGCGACTTATCGACTATGCGCTACCTGGGAGGCACCTTATCGCCCCGTCACCAACCGACTCGAGATTTTTTACACCTGCGGAGGACGCGACGGAAAAGAGAGCGGCTATTCTAGGCAGAACAAGGTTGACGACAATTTGGCTTACTCGTCTAAAACGGTAGCTTCGGATGCTTGTAAGCCGGGAAAATGGCAAAAAACAAGCGAAGCGAAACGTGTAAAAACCTGCAGAAATAGTGCTTCGTTTCTATACGATTTTAGAAAGCCAATTTCGGGACGAGTTTCTCGTTGGCATCTTGCCAATAACCGGTGGATACGGCTGTATGATGTACTCATACATCCATGCAGCACCTCAGCCACTTCATCAATCCCAATAAGCGGCAAGGCGTCCGGGTCGGTATGTTGCAGCTTGATAGGGCGCTATAAGGGTACCTTCCTTGGGAAAGGCGCCACGCAGCGCCTGCTCAGGGGCGCCGAATTCCGTCCTGCTAGGCGTGCTAATCCTACACGTCTTGGCGACTTGTCGTGCCACTTGTCTTTAACCTTTTCAATGTGCCAAGAACTTATTATCTTATCACTTAGGCGGACCAATGGCGACAAATTGTCCACGAAGACAGAATCAGGAAGTTTTCCGCTGATTGCACTTGGTTTCTGGCCAGCGACTTATCTTGCCTCTGTCCGCAACCAATAACTTGAGGTTGGACTATTGAGAAAAATCGCTGAATCATACATTCTGGAGAAGGGTCAAATGGCTAGAAAACAAAACGGACTCGACTGAAAGGATCGTCAGTGTAAAATGAGCAGGAAACAAAGGCTAAGTATGAGGAGTATAAGAACGCAAAGGCGAAAGGACTAGGTAAGTACTCAGTAGAGGTGTCAGTTGTCACGTCGCTATTCAACAATGCAACAAGGCCGCCGAGCCTGCCAGCCCGATACCCGAACGACTCTTCCCAGCAAATAGAACCTCCACAGTTCCAGGTTTCAGAAGTGTCCAAAAATGATTCTCAGAATCGACCTGGATCAACCATCTCTTAATCTTGGCATTGATATGACTGAAATCCTCGGAGGCCTTTGAGAGATCAAGACTTTCTAACCAAGAGACCTTCGCTGGAACCACCTCCGGTTCATTCGAAATCGGTTGACCCCATTGCGATGTTTGTTCTGTAACGAGCCAATGACCAGCTGTGATGACCAGGAGTCGCTGGAAGGCAGTGGCCTCTCAACAAATGGAAATCCTCGGCAGCTACGAGATTGATTAGGAAATACCTCTGAAAACGGAAGTCGGAATTCGGAACAAGAATGTTAGACTATCAATCATTATGTAGCGCTAAAACGTTTAAACATCACGGTAAGGAGAAAAAATGGCTGAAGCAGAGACAAATAGCAGCTATAACTCGTAGAGAACCTCTTAGAGCCACCTGTAGCCTAACTTTCAACCGATGAAAATAAAATTCTAGATGATGGCTAATCATATAAGCTTTTATGCGAGCCCAGAAAAAAGCTCAGCGATGAATGCAAAGGCATTGATTGCAATACGCCACGTATAAGAGCACAAAAGGCCGTTTTGTCTGCAAGTTGAATTCATCATCAGGGCATGTCGGTTTTGGGGAACCCCGCGGGGGGGGGGATATTGTATTTGGTCGATGGATAGAGAGGGTCGTATTTGCATTTTAGAAGAATTTTTGGATGGGACCTTTCCGGTAGTTGACTTCTTGCGGCTTTACCCGTTTCGTCTTTGTTATATACCCTCTCCCACCCCAGTTGGAGGTAACTTTCGCGCGACAACCGTAAAATTATTTTGAAAAGTGGGAAAAAGTGGCAGGTAGTAGGAAGAAGTGGGTAGTGGGTCGGCACTATCACGGAGATATTCAGATGGGTTGTGTTTTCTAAAAATTTTCCTCAGCTGCAGGAAGTGCCCCGGCCATAGACCCAATATCGATTCCCGCATTGGTTGGTACGGTGGAAATCGATTTCCGACGACACTCTCCAATGGATAATCACAGTGGTAGAGGTCTGCAAACAGCCCAAGTGTTTCCTTTATATAGATCGCATTCTCTGTAAAAATCCCACAAATTTAAAAAAAATCAAAAAATCAACGTGTTGAGGACAAGTTCGAGTTCCCACAGGTCGTCGGCTCAAGGCGCAGCATTTGCGAATGAGCGTCTCATCACGGCCTGCTCCCTTCCCATTCAATTGCCGGACGTTTCTGCTAACAGTTGCGAAGCTGAAGAAAGTTACTGTTTACCCTAAGGGGTGACAAGTACTTCCATGCTGCTTGCCACGGCCGTTTCCGCGACTCTCGCAAACCAACACTTCGAGTCCAGCCTGAAAACAGACTTTAGGGCTCCTTGCAATGGTTTCCCTTATCAATCGTACGGACGAGGAAGCATGGATTCCGAATCAAAATCAGAAGGACAATGGTGAAGTACAGCCGGTCCGGCCCGTCACACCGCCGCACAGACAGCAGCTGATCGGTGTGCGGGATAATGGAAGGTGCAGAGCACAGACGCGAGAGTCGCACGGTCAGGGACGCAGAGCAACTTATGACGGCAATGCTGTGATGGCAATGTCGCACTACACGTGTGTACACGTGATTCGGAGGGCTCAGTCACGAGAATAGAGCGCTCCGATGGGACATTTTGTTCCGGAGGGGTGGGACCACACGTTCCCGTCACCGAGGTAAGCTGGTGGGCCCCAGAAATTCGATGCCAAAATGGGAAAACAAAGAAATTCTCACGGCCGCTGAAGTCTAGGAAGGCCCAAGCGGGCTGGCAATTGCGCTGAAAGTGACGCGATCGCCTCCTATGGGACCTCCGAAACATGGGTAATCGGAGGGGGTTCCATTCATGTTAGAACGTCTAATAGCTGAAAGTGACCCAGAAGACGCTCCTTTCCTGAATGCAATCGGGAGGAGGCCCCACTCATGCTGCACTAAATACCGGTAAAGACCGAATTATCGATTACAGCGTGCACTCCTAGTCGAGCCAGAACTTCACTACCAGGTCCTATCACACCAGTCGTCACTTTAGCGACTTTCCCTTACAACGTAAAACCCCCACAAAAACTATAGGCACCTGGAGAAGTGCCTTTACGCTTGACGCTTTCAGTTCATTCTTGTTAAGCGATTCCGACTAAGCCTAAGCAGCCAGCTAGGCAGTCAGGCCAGGCAGCGGCAGGTCGTGTTTCGCGAGAATCGAGCGGGTGGCTGCAATGCCACCACCCCCTTTTCGTTCCCTCTCTCCTTCGCACAACAATCCCTGCCGTTATTATCGACTTCAAAAGTGTTAACACAAACGTTGCCCGCTAGAGAACTATGCCGAAAGGGCCGGATATGGCACGGGAACGATGAGTTTTCCACAGTGGTACGATCGATAATCTGCTCTGAAAGAACGGACGTGCTCACCGTAATCCTACCAACTCACCGACACAGCCATTTAGTAGTTTATCTTATCAACATCAAACGGTCAAAACCAACCGCGAAGGGTTGAAAACAACAATGAAAACAAAACGATCAATAACTATCTATAATGTATAGAACATGAAAATACTTACAGAAATTGAGTAAAATATTCTACTTTGGCTAACCAGCCTAGCTTAAAATTTCTAGTAGGCCCTGACAAATGCTAAGGTCATCGCGAGGCGGCTGCACTGCGGAAATATACGACGTCGGGTGGCGCCAGCTTTATGACGTTCCTTCTCGAAACGCTGAATCTCTTCTTCCATCTTCAGCTCGTGCTCCAAACTGGAGCCAGTTCGATAGTCCGCGATCAGATCATATCGCATATAATCATTCATCTAAAGCAGTACATTTTACAGCAAATTACAAGGCACTGTCCAGCTTAGGGGACAGGAGGGGGGACATCTTGCACTTTCGTTGGTCTCTCTTAGTAGTTCCAGTTATCCTGCACATTTCACTTGCGTCCACACCGCCGAAACGCTGAATCTCTTCTTCCATCTTCAACTCGTGCTCCAAACTGGAGCCAGTTCGATAGTCCGCGATCAGATCATACCGCATATAATCATTCATCTGAAGCAGTACATTTTACAGCAAATTACAATGCACTGTCCAGCTTAAGGGACAGGAGGGGGGAATCTTGCACTTTCGTTGGTCTCTCTTAGTAGTTCCAGTTATCCTGCACATTTCACTTCTGGGAGACCTGCAGACCCTTGACAAGTGTAAACCAAGCTCATTCGATTGCATAGCTTTCCAAGAAAATACAAG